AAATTTCCAAGACCCAATCAAATTTGACGGCGAGCATGTGGAAACTGAGGCCTTTTTTCTTTTCTCAGCGGTTTCTTGCCAGGCAGGGCTCTTGTCTCTGGAGTCCAGAAACTTTCCAAGGCCCAATCAGATTCGATGGCGAGCATGTGGAAACAGAGGCCTTTTTCTTTTTTTCAGCGGTTTCTTCCCAGGTGGGTGGATCTTCTCTGTGGAGTCCGAAAATTTTCCAAGGCCTTTTTCTTTTTCTCAGCGGTTTCTTCCCAGGCGGGTGGCTCTTCTCTGTGGAGTCCGAAAAACTCCCAAACACCTTTCCAGAAGTTGTGACCCGCCTGTGGAATCTCGCCCTTAGACTCGCACCCCACACTTGGACCCCCCGCCTCCACGGGACAACTTTTGAGATCCAACATGCTTCCATGCTGAACAGCCAAACTACGTGGCAAACGTTTTCACTCAGTTCCAGTTTGGCCGATCTGAACCGTCGCACCATCCAGGGGGAGTCAAGGGTCGGGGGCTGGGGGGGGGCAACCCCTTCCACAGCCAACGGAATAGATTAGATGTGGAACCGAGACAAGGAGCCTACTTTCTGGATAAGGAAAGTTTTCCTTATTGGGCCACCCCAACCTACTAACCTGCCCAAAATTTGTGCTGCTGCGGGATCATGTTTCCCCTTTCCCACCGCCCGGGGTTCGGTTAGGGTTTGGTGGAAGCTTTGCAAGCGCCCAACTACCGCCACAGGCAGTTAGGGCCAGCCCTTAGTAGATATACCTGTGTGTCACAGAGGAGGGGCCCTCCAGGCACAGTTAGGCTTGGATGAAGCTATCCAAGTGCCGAACTACCTTCAGGTAGTGGGGTCCAGCCCTTAGTAGATATAATACACCTGAGTATCACAGAGGAGGCGGGGCTCTGCAAAGAAGAGGTCTGCGGGAACCTGTCTGCCTCTGCGAGCTACCTTTTCGGGACATGCTTGTAAGTATCGGGCACCGGGGCCTGTTGGGATAACACCTCTTTGGTGGGGAAAACAACTAATTCATTTCATTCATCGATGGACGATTCCAACTCAGGTCTGCAGTTGACCAGTTCATTGGTGTACCAACTGAGCTAGGCCCGTTGGTTCTGACGTATTTTCTTGTGTTTTTTTTTTTTTATGCACTGGCACACACTCCTTTTTTTTTTATGCACTGGCACACACTCCTCACATGAGTACACGGAAGTCTTATACCTGCCAAGCAGCGTGTAAATACCTGGACGCTCAGTTTTTCTCCTCTGTAGGCGGGCTCGGTTTTTCTCCTCAGTAGGAGGGCTCGGTTTTTCTCCTCGGTAGGGGGCAGCAGAAAGAGCGATGTGGGGTTTAGGAGTGAGCCTCATTTTGTTGGCTCGTTTTTTTCTCCTCGGTAGGGGGCAGCAGAAAGAGGGCTGTGGGGTTAGGAGTGAGCGTCATTTTGTTATAGGGAGTCATTTTGTTATAGGGAGCCTGGGCTCCGCTGGCCCGCGTTAGGGCCAGATCACAAGACCCCTCAGACAGGACCTTCAGACAACCGTGTAGGTCCGAGTCTACTGCAGTGTTCGCTCTTGCGGCTCTTTTATCCAGGGGGTTGATCCCCTCGGGGTGGGGGTCCCACCTCGTACAAAGCGAAACTGGGTAATGCTCCCAGCCTTCCCCGGTAGACTGTGAGGACCCCCGCGACAAGATATTTATTCGACCTATAAGCCTCACCCGGTAGACTGTGAGGACCCCGGCCTCAAGATAGTTATTCGAACTATAGCCTTGGGCACTGGGCCCCTGATTTGGGATGTGGGCGGCCGGATGTCTTATACCACGGCCACCTAACGGAACCCCTGCACAGTACAAGTGGGTGTGTGTTGTGGCCACTGTGCCGCACTCCGTGCCAAATGTCAAAACCTGGCAAAGCGAGCAAGTCATTCCGTTAAAATTGGGTCAATGCACTCCATTTCATTTCTCACACTGGCCACGTGGTGCCACGAGGCCTCTTGATGTGGCAATGAAATGCAGGTGAGTGGGTGTGCTCGGAGTGTGTGTGTGTGTGTGTGTCGCTTCAGCATACGATCATGCCACTCACCCCACGCACCACACCGGCAAAGGAATGCAAAGGCTCCCCTTCATATGTACGTATTAGAAAAAATTAAGGATTGTGAGCACCGAGAGATAGATAGCCATAGGTGAATGACATGGTGACAAGCTGTGTGTGAAAGATGGTAAACTCCAGGACATCTACAGCGCGGCGAAAATTCAAAAGCGTCAGCAAAGGCATGACCGGCGATGGTGCAATCCAACGGCTCCCAGTGATTAGATGAGATCCGTAATCACGGAACCCCTAGCAATCGCAATCGCAATCGCAATCGCAATCGCAATGGCGATGTAAAAGCATCGGCAACGGACCTTTTTTTTGCTAACAAAAGTACTGCACCACGGTTGACCGGCGCCCGTGGCCCATTTTGAAGGAGCTTCTGGTTCTGGTCTCGAGTATCCACAGGTCTCCGTAATCCGATCTGCAAATCTCACGGCCACAATGTGGACACGTTGAAAACATAGTCGAAACCAGAACTAAACCTCCCCAAGTGGGGCGCCGAACCAGAACTAAACCTCCCCAAGTGGGGCGCCGCCACGATTCCCTGTGATTCTGAATTACTACCGTCTTCCCCCGAACACAACGCACCCTTATTTTGGCAGTATCTGGCCGGAAATATAGCTTGTATACATTCACTTTTAGGGTGCGTTATGTTCGCGGGAAGACGGTAGTCGTGAACGACTTGCAGTAATTCCAGGAAAACAAAAAGAAAAGTACAGGCGATGGATACGAGCACAAGAATGACCGCCGCCGCTGAAGGATGCATTACATTACATCCGATTCCAAATGATTTTCTAGTAGACAGCTCTCTCTGGTCCACGATCAGAAGCAACGAAACGGAGATCTGAACTGGAAGCCTTCCTTAAGAGGTAAAAACTCCAATTAACCACTAAGTACGTGCGGACAAAACCAACGTAGCGGGCATGAACGATCGAGGGAGGAGAGAGAGGGGGGGGGGGAAAGGGAGGAAGGGGACAGGCGGAAGACACTCCAAACACTCCCGCCTGAGTGAAAGCCACGTATCGTCATATCACAACAAACAATCCACACTTGTAAGCAAGACTACCTTCCTCCCCCGAATACAACGGCCGGTCATTATCGCTGCATCTGAACCGAAAGTCGCGCCAAATGTAGCTATGATGGCAGGGCGTTCTATTCCGGTGAAAACAGTAGGATACCCCGAGGAACACGAGCATTCATTGGATGAAATTGCAGAGCTGCTGGGTGGGTGGAAGCCACACAAAATACGAACAAACAATTAACGAAAGTAAGATCAACATCGTCCAGAGCAAGTCCGAAGCAAAACAGCTTTTCTCAACGGGTGAGAAATCCTTCAACAACCACCCGCCACCCACGACGGTCAAACCTCTCCTCCCCCCACCCCCCCTTTCCTTGTCTACGGCAAACGGATGACGGGGATTCTACCAACCCCACTTACCCTCCGAGAGGGAGACAACAGCCCCAACAACAACAGCAGGGAAAAAGAGTGAACCCTATCAAATCATTACCTCTCGTTTCCAGATGCTGCCTGACCGTTGAAGCGATAACATCTGTCTGTAGCGCTCATCCATCCAAAAATCCCCCCGGTATCTTTTTTTTCCTTCAAGAATTCGAACATAGTGTAAATTTGTCTCCATGGAAAAAGAGTCCTTCCGAGAGTAAACAAACTCCTTCACGGATTCAGCACCGCGTATGGGAACATAATACACCTTTGGGCAATTAAATTAATTTAAATTTAACGTTCCTGGCCTCAATTTCGGGGTTTGGGGAACCGAAGAAGTCGCCAAGCCCTACTGGCGGGAACCCGCGTAGCCCTGACGATTTCGGTTCAAAAAACGCCGAAATTAAGGCCAGGAACATCAAAGTTAATTGCCACAAAGGGGTAATAGGTTTTCATTAAGCAATTCAACAGACATAATCTACATACATATATAAAAAATAAAAATATGACGACATACTATATCAATATATTCTATATTCACCTGTGGGTGTATAATTGCCAAAACAAAAAAAAAACAAAAAAAAAACTCGGGGGTTTTGTTGTCAAGTACAGAAAAAGAAAAACCCTACCTGAAGGAAGAGGACGGACACCAAGAAGATCGATACATATATATCGTCACACCGTGTATCAGCCCAAAGACGAAAAAACAAAAAAGGAAAGACGGAAGGAAGGAAGGAAAGCTCCGCCTGTTCATCACGGTTACCTCTTACGTACAAGGCCGCCCACGTGCATGACAGGTTGAGCGCCGGCTGCCCCCATCCCCGTGTGTCACAAGGACCCACTTGCACGCAGCCAAAAGGCAAAGAGATAAAGAAAAGGAGGAGGAAAACAAACCTCACAGAAGCAAGAGAAAGAGAAAGGGATTCAGTCAAAGACAGGACAAGGGAAGAGGAAGGCCTATCAGTCAAACAAAGCAAATGGCACACCCCATCTTTTTTTCTTTTCTTCCGGCAATTTTTTTTTTTTTCCTTCTTCTTCTTCTTCTACATTCTCTTTCTTCTTCTTCCTCCCCTTCTTCTTCTTCCTCCCCTTCTTCTTCTTCTACATTCTCTTTCTTCTTCCTCCCCTTCTTCTTCTTCTTCCTCCCCTTCTTCCTCTTCTTCCTCCCCTTTTCTTTCTTCTACATACTTCTTCTCTTCTTCTTCTTCTACATTCTCTTTCTTCTTCCTCCCCTTCTTCTTCTTCTTCCTCCCCTTCTTCTTCTTCTTCCTTCCCTTTTCCTTCTTCTACATTCTTCTTCTTCTTCTTCTTCTTCTTCTTCTTCTTCTTCTTCTTCTTCGTTTTCTTCTTCTACTTCTTATGGCGCCGTAAATAAATACTTTATGTTCCCGTGTGGGTTTATGATTGCCAAAACCAAAAAATCCGGTTTTTTTTTTCTGTCGCGTACGAAACAAAAAAAGAAAAACACCTACCTGAGGAAGAGGAAGGACACCAAGAAGATCCATGAAGAATCTCCACCTCAGGTAACGCTTGGCGATCTTCTTCGGGTCTTCGATTACTTGACCGTGCGCGAATCCGAACTTCTTCAAATAGCCGATTCGGAATCGGAGGATGATGTGAAGGAGATACAGAAAATCGGTGAAACATCTCAGCACCGTCAGCAGCATGGCGAGGTCGTGATTAATTTCCACGCAGGGTCGGTCGTCATGAATCTCGCAGACAAAAAAGAAAAGCGGATCAATATATAGCGCAACCACGCACGTGACGGCAAACATTTGGTTCCAACGGCGGACGAAAGGAGCATGGGGCGGGATGATCCTTGTTAAGATAGCCAACCTGGAAAGGAACCGTCGGAAAGAGTCCCTCTCTCCGATGGAGATCCGCTCTCCGTCGACCTCAGGCGCATCATCAAGGCCACTGCGATCGGGATTCAAATCTCCGTACGGATCAATGAAAGGATCGTATCCCGAATCAGATTCGGAATTCACGTACGAATCCCCCCCTCCTCCTCCTCCTCCTCCTCCTCCTCCTCCTCCTCCTCCTGCTGCTGCTGCTGCTGCTGCTGCTGCTGCTGCAAAGGCGCCGGCGCCGCCGCCGGCGCGCCATCGCGACTGCGGCACTCCCAAAGCACCGCTCATCGGAACCAAATGCTGTCCTCCAACCCCCTCTATTACCCGGTTATCTGGCGGCCGGCGCGGGCGGTAGCCACTTGGTCCAACGAACGTCCTCGATTCCTCCCTGCCGTAGTTATAAGTGGGAACGTACCCGCTTGGCCCAACGAACGTTCTCGATTGATCCATGGCGTAATTGCGCGGCAAATCCACGGCGAAATCCATGGTGAAATCCATGGTGTAATCGGGACGACCGCGAGGCCTGCCGCCGCCACGATCTGAGGCGGGCGTGGGCGGTAGCTGCGCTGCATCCGACGCCTCTCGGCTAGTACCAGGCACACCATATCCTCCCCGGATGGGTGGGGGATCCGATGCCTCGACCGCGGTCAGCTCAATCGCCGCCCCACCACCTGCTGCATATGCTCCTCCTCCCGCGCCCATCGCCTGCCGTCCGCGACCAGCCCATCCCCCAGCATCCGCGGGGACAACGCTTTCACGCGCTACCCCAGCCTCTCGACGTGTCCGGTCGGGAGGTGCCCACAATGGCGGCGGACGCGCCGGGGTGGGCCGTTCCCCAGCCCCGCCGTCCCTACCGGCAATTCGAGAATCTCCGCTCTCCCTCCTTATCGGTTCCATCTCTTCCTTCTCCCTATATCTGTTCCTTCTCCCTATATCTGTTCCTTCTCCCTACTGTGTACTCCTCCCCCCTCCCCCGCGCCCTCCCCCTCGCCCTCCTCCTCGACTCTCCTTTTCCCCTTGGCTCTGAAGACAAGGCGCACCTTCCTTCGGCATCACCGCGTTGTTCGCAACCCCCCTTTCCCCCCACACCTTCCCTCGACTCCCCACAGCAACTACCTGGTGCTTCACCCTCCTCCTTGAGCGGCCATGGCCCTGCCTCAACAGGACAGATCCATCCTTTTCGTCCTTCTTACTTACACTTTGCTCGTCTCACCTCACGTCTTGTCGTGCAACCGTTCCCACTTTCATCCAACAACTCAAGCGCCGTCCAGCTGACGCGTGCTTGCGGCAGAGCCATCGCTCCCTCCTCACGTCTTGTCGTGCAACCGTTCCCACTTTCATCCAACAACTCAAGCGCCGTCCAGCTGACGCGTGCTTGCGGCAGAGCCATCGCTCCCTCCCCAAAGAAGTTTTTTCCTACTTGGTCTACTCTACTCTCATTGGGCCTCCTGTTTCTCCTCCTTGGTCTACTCTCATTGAGCCTCCTGTTTGCTTCCCGGGATCCACATTTGCGTGCGTCGTTCCGATTCAACTCCCTCCACTTCTTTGGGGCGAAACGTTGCGAATACACTACACCACTCACCACGTGCAAAATGAGAATGGAAAAAAATAAAAATAATAAGGAAAATTTGTCTGGCGCCCCTGTAACAAACGTTATTTCGTGTCGCGCCCCTCCGACCGCAGCTTTACCCTGTCGCGCCCCTGGGCCAAAAATATTTTCGGAAGGCCCTTGTCGGTAGTGACTGCAACTTTCCAGGACGCCCTCCTACGCCCTCTTTGGACTGACGGTCGGGCCCTGTGCCATATGCCCTCATGACCGGCAGCCATCTTTCTGCAATGCCCCCCCAGCCGTGAGGCACCACAATTCGCATTTCCATCGGGCACTGTGCCATATCGTCCGCTTCCCTGCAAGTGTGTGTGTGTGTGTGTGTGTGACAGAGAGAGAGAGAAAGGGTGAGTTGGTGACTTTTCTCTCTCTCTCTCTCTCTCTCTCTCTCTCTCTCTCTCTCTCTCTCTCTCTCTCTCTCTCTCTCTCTCTTGCCCCCTGATTTTCGTCCCAGACTTCTTCTTTCCCGCCTTTGCACTCATCGCACTCGTCGTTGACTCAGACTGTCCACCACTAACATCCTTTAGTTTGTCGGAAGAGGGAGCCGCCCCTGCATCGGGGAAAGCAGTAGAAGATGTGGTAGTTGTGGACCACTTGGCAGCAGACGCCCTCTTGGCAGCAGATGCCGTGACAGCAGCTGATGAGGCAGCAGATCATGACGTAGCAGCAAATGGCTTGGTAGCAGATGACGTGGCATAAGATGACGTGGCAGCAGATGACGTAGCAGCAAATGACGTAGTAGCAAATGGCTTGGTAGCAAATGGACTGGCAGCAGATGACGTGGCATACGATGATGTAGCACAAAATGACGTGGCAACAGATGACATAGCAGCAAATGGCTTGGCATCAAATGGCTTGGCAGCAAATGGTACCGGTAGGGGCATCTCGAAAATTTACCCTCTGGCTTTTAACGGCCATCCGGTAGGGGCATCCTGCAAATTAGGGACCGGTACCGTTAGGGGCGTAACGAAAAGATTTGAGGCCCAAATGACACCGGGGTCTTATGGAAAATTTAAACCCTGCTCAAAGGGGCACGATGTGTAAATCGACCGTCGGAGGGGTGCAACGCGAAATAACGCAAATTACAGGGGCGTTGTCGAGCGCATCGGCTCCCGCCTTTTTCGCAAAGGCAAGAGCCCTCCCGGCCATGTCACGTAGGAGTTTAAACAAAACCAAAATCAGAGACAACTCAGGAACGACGCCTAACTAATCCCGCGAGCCGCCGAGACGACCGCGGTCGCGTCGCCCCTTCACCGCTCTAGCCGGGTGCGCCAGCTGTACATCTCGCGGTCCCCTACGACAGGATAGGTTCCCGCGGGGCATAAGCTTTCCTTCCCTAAGGGGTTGTTACCACCCTTAGGGCCATATCCCTACCGAGCTACAACCCCACGTGCGAAAGTTGTTAGATGCAATTGCAGAGGTAGGTCAGTTAAGGGCGTTTGCTCGTTCGTTGTAGTATAGATACGCTTGGTTAACGCCAAATGAATCTGAACGTCGTATGTTCCTATGGCGCTGATCTCCTAGGTGCAGAGCAGACGCCGGTCGACTAGGACAGTCTCAACCAAACGCGAAACCGAACATTAATCCTAGTCTCTTTTACACATAGTCAAGCGAAAATTGTAACAACCATACATAGTTACATCGAAAGGAATCGTTCGTAGTCAATAGAAACATATCCAATCTGAAATGATAATTGAGAGAATCCAAATCATCATTAGATACGTCCAATAATACAATATCAAAATAAAATCCGACCCCCCTGGGTCGAACTCTAAAAAAATCATATAACCGCCAACGAGGAGTTGGCTTTCGACAATAACGTCGATGTTGCCGATATGGTAGTCGGACAACCTCAGTTTTGACCTGATGAGACGCGGTGCCAAAGTCATTCATCTCAGCCTACCGTCGACCTAAGATTCGACACGCTCACACCTGTCTCCATACTTTCTCAATCTTATTGACTGACAAACTTTTTTGCGAATGATTCTTGATCAGGGGCATTGCTTGAGGTGTTACATGCCTCTCCCTATAGGAAGTGGTCTTGGGTATTCCTCCTCCTCATCCAAACACAAGACTCGGATCTCAGAAGTCGGACCGCCTCTATCGAATCGACAAAATACCGCCCCCGTGGAACGGTCCACTCTGGGTCAATAACAGGGTTGGCTCCTAAAGCAACGACCCCCCGTCCCAGATACTTCGTAAAGATAGAAGATGTGTTCACTACACGTAGTTTTCGGTTATTTTTATTTCTTCCGAGTTCAGGGTAGCTTTGACAAAAAAAAATCGAAGGAGATAGAGAACGAGAATCATTTTTGGACAGGTATAGGTAGCTAAGGTCATTCGAGATAGAATGGGTAATTCTCGGGAAAAACTAGGTTCATTTGACCTTGTCTGCTTTATTTCAATCAAATTCATTCTACGACACATGCTAAATATTTTTTTTTCAAAACAACGTCTTTTTGACAAACAGGCAAGTGAAAGGTAGAAAGAAGACAATTCATTCCTTCATCTCAAATAGGCATAATCAATCTTCTTTGTAAGCATCTCTCTACCTACCTGCACAACATGCATAAAAAACAAGTTCAAAAGAAAATAGTACAATCCCAGACTCACGTCAGACCTTCCCATTCACATGCATGACTCGCACAACTTTCTCTACCTTTCCTTTCGAACGTTCAAAACAACAGGGTCAAGCAAAGTGTGGGTTCACACAGGTGTGAAGGGATTTTTGAGTCATTCAACTGACTGACCTTGAGTGAAGTTTGGTCCGGCTCACTCAAGAAAGTCAAGTAATATTCCAATCGAAGAAAATGATTGCCGTTGAATATGAAAATATGTGGCTCATATGAAAATACGCGACTCACAGCTCCACATGTCGTGGTCTTTCTCCTGAGTCACGGTCCGCGTCCTCCGCCAAGTGCCCAAGTGAGCAAGAGTTGGGTCCATCGAGATGTTTGAATGAGATAACCCTCAAAGATGGTGCTCCCATGATCCTATCTCATGTCGCCTCAACATCCTGAACACTCTCAACGCAGTCCCTACTGCACCTCGTCCTCCAAGGACAGTTCTCCAACCAACCGCAAGTCCATGCCGCCTTAAATCATCATATCCGCTCACAATAACCACATAAAGATGCCGGTCCTGATCTCAAAATCAGTCTCATCTGGTTCCAAAATGGTCCTAAGTGGTCCCAATGCAGCCCCACACCATTGCCGCAATACTAGGTAGTTCTGAACTCAAAACCGCTTGCTCCGCGCGCCGCAAAAAAATAAAGGTGATTCTCGTTGAAAACCGTTTGTATCACGAGCCCCAAAAAAATAAATATGTTTTTCCGGCGCAAACCGCAAGGGCCGCAACTCCAATAGCCGCTACCACGAGCACTCACTCCGTGCCACCTTCACACCGTCGGTCCACACACCACTACCGCACAATCCCAAACGTGCACCAGCGTTGGCCCAACCTCTGGACCTCATTAGAATCCACCATAGTTGCCGCACATCACAAAAAAAAGTACGAAACTGCCGCTCACTGCGCCGTCAAAACCGGTATCACGCCGTCGTGCTGTGGGCAACTCCTTTGCCCACAGCCAGGCAAAAATTCGTGGGTGCTCCTGGCCCTCGATCTAAATCGATGGTCAAGAGTCATGTGCCTTGGTTTTCCCTCAAGAGAACCAAGGTCTTCAATCCCCAGAAGTACCTGGCCGTTTTCCCAGGCCAGGTGCTCCTGGAAAAGGCAGTACCGAGCCATTCTCTACAGCCTGTTAAAAAATGAACAGGTGCAGTCACTTCACCCCCTAGAACCTTCTGGGGACTGCACCTGTTCTGCAGCCACAACCAAATTCGC